ACTGTGTGAAGGTGTATTGCTGTGATTGGTGTAATAACAAGCTGAATGGCCAAGAGCTAGGCAGGAAGTATAGGTGGGATTTCTGGGGATAGAAAGGAAGAGGAGGAGGAGTGTAGGCAAGCAGGAGAAGCCAGTAGACAGGGAGAGGGAACAGGAAGTGCAAGATGGAAGAGAGCTAATATCATGCGATAGAATGTAGATTAATATAAATGGGTTAACTTAAGTTATGAGAGATAGTTAGGAACAAGCCTAAGCTACAAGCTGAGCTTTCATAATTAATAAGAAGTCTCCATATCATTATTTGGGAGCTCCCGGAAAGGACAGAAGAAGACTCATTACACCTTGGTCTCTCATATGTGGGAGTTTTATTCTTATAGTTTTTCATGTTGCTTACTATGCCTTATTTTTCTTAATAATTATTTCAGGGCCTTCAGCTAAATTCCTCATAATCATCTCCATGCCATTGATTATTATTTCTCCTTTCATGGGGAAAAAACTGATTTGTTGTCCTCAGCAAACCCCACCAAGTTTTCTATCTTTATAAGAAAGAAACATTTTACATTAGTAATGCAAATGGAACACATGATTCCAGCTTCTGTGAATAAAGATCTCTGTTCAGTGGCTCCTGCTTATCTATATTAGTTGGCAAGGCTACCATAACAAAAACACAACTGCCTTCATGAACAAAAGACATTTTCTTAGTACCTGAAGCTAGTCAAAGATCGAAGTATTAACAGATTTACTTTTCCTTGTGGTTGCTCTTCTTAGCTTGCAGGTGACAGCTTTCCCTTTGTGACCACATGGTCATTTTGTGTTCATATACCCATGGTATTTTTTGTATGGCCAAATTCTTCCTTAACAGACATCAGTTTAAGTTGGTTAGGATCCACCTCAATAGTTTCATTATAATTTACTTATCATTTATACATCCTATATAAATTACTTCTTGTTTGTTGTGACCAACCCTTTCTCTTTAAGTTGCTTCTTGTAAGGTAGTTGGTAACAGCAAACAAAAAGTTGTCTTAGCACCTCAGGTTATAGGCATGCACCATCAGGCCTGGTTCTCAATTTATCACTTTAATCCTATGTCTTCTTCACAAGACCAATGCATGTCAATTATACCACATCATCGCAAGATATCATCTGGAAGCTATTGTTCCCTGAGAGACCTGATCAGACAGTCAGGTCCAGGGCAATCAGGCTCTGGATCTTTTAGGTGAGTCTGGCAGATGAAGCTTTGTGAAGAACTTCTGGATATAGAGGCTGTTTGCAAAGGACAGAGCCTGCAGCAGATTGAAACCAGCAATCTTGTCTCATTAAAATGGTGTATTTGGTATTTTATCTCAGGAACAGATCCAGAAAGTTCCAATCTCTTGTCAATCATTCCATTCTACCTTCGTTCCTTTTGCTAGATTTTGGATTTTGTCTTTACTATGTATTTTTTGTTTTTACACTTCATGGGCTAAATACATTTAACATTATGGTATTGTATTATTTGGGTTTAGTATGTTTAGTTTTTAAACTATTCGTTGTTTCTCCTGCGTTGTCTTGCTTCCTTGTGTTATGTGCATACACGCATTTGTGTGCACTATGCTTCCTCTTTTCTGCTTTCCTAACAGATCTTGCCAACAGAAGTTACTGTGCACTTCTACTTATTTATCTAGTATGAAGGGAAATTGCATCATATTTTGCTCAGCTTCCTTTTGTAACTTCGTATTTTACTGAAGATAGGTTTCAAGTTCTCTTGATTTGTGTCTAGGAGACATGCTGTATTGTATCACCCCTCCCCCTGGGAATATACCCCTGAAAGAGATTACTTCACTTTTCTTGCATTCCCTACATTATTAACCAGAGTTTTACATTTCTTTTTATTTTTTGTTTTGTTTTCAGATTCTCATCATGTAGCCCAAAGTTACTCTTAATGCACAATGTTAGTTACCTGCATTAGCTCACTTGGATATTGGGGAATGCATAGTTACAGGCTCTAAACCAGGCTTATAGAGTCAAAATATGATAGAATCCAGGAATCTATAGTTTTAAAATTAGCTTTATGGATGTTTCTTCTCTACACAAATGTTTGAGAATCATGGTCATAGCAAATGTTCTAACTATGGCTTTAGTATGGTTTGAATGATTTTACAAAACAGAGACTGGTCCCAGGTTGTGCTGGGGTGACAGAACCTTTAAGAGGGAGGCGATAGTGGAAGACATGCAGGTCACGAAGGTACTGGCTGGACAGGGATCAATGGTGGTCTTAGGGAGAACAGCCCATCCTCTCAAGAGCAGAGCAGATTGTTACAAAGCAAGCCCACCACATATTTGTTGGGCTCCTTTGCATCAGACTATTTCCCTCTAGGATTTTGGCCAGATTGTGACACAGCCACTAGAAGTGAGCCAGATATTGCTACCCAATCTTGGAATTTCAGTCTCTCAAACTATGAATAAATCTTTTTGACAAGCAACGCACATTGGATATTTGGTTATAACAATATAACATAAAAGTTTATCAAGCAATGGGTCTTTAGAACTACTTAGGATTGGTGTAGTATCCTCTTACTAATTTCCAAAGATTTCTCATTTGTTGATCTTCAGTCATTTCATGGTTATGCTTACTTGAATGTTTTCTTATCCTACACTCAACACAGTCCCCTCACACTAAGTTTGGGGCCAATAATGGAATCCTTGTATCCTGGTTCAGTTATTGAATGAGACATTCGGTTTCGGTTGTGCTTGAAAGAATGGCTGGACAACTGTATGAATAGCTTCGATGAGAGGCAAGTTTGACCCAGGAAGTTATCTGCTTTCTTGATTTTTGCTTCTACTGCTGTTTTGTCTCATCTCCCCAAAAGGTTAACTTCATTGATTAAAATTCTGTCATTAAAATTTTCTCAGGATTCTGCTGGCAGGTAACTCCTTCTGAATGCTGTTAAAAACGTCTCCCTGCCATGTGATAGTCCCTGGGACCTGGGCCAAGAGATTTTGGCCCTCCCAGGTGCCTGAGACCCATAGGTTGAGAATTGCCGACTTAGGGGTAGGGTGTCATCCTTTTCTAGTCTGTTTCTTTCTCTGCTTCAAATCTTTATAACTGGAGGACCCAGACCCACCTTTTTCTGATAAGCCTGTCCATGCCACCTGGAAAGATTGCCAGCAACTCCAACTCTTTTTACTTCCGATGAAAGGGAAGATATTAGGGCAGAGGCAAGGAAGGTCTTTTTGGCCTTGCTTTAGTGGCAGCTTTCTCCAAGCACCCTGACTGGGACCCCAATGTGTACACACATTTACAGGCCCTAAACATTTTTACCTGTACCTTAGTACTGGAATTTGGGGTGCAGCTCAAACTCACTAATTTGTGTAAGACCATGGACGTTTTTCAGGGTCCAAAAGCCCCGGGGCATTTTTTGAGAGATTACAAAAGAAAAAAGTTTCACAACTTACACCCTCTTTTGACCCAATGACTTTGGAAAAATGTTTGGGCATTAAATTTTATTTTGCTACTCAGCACTGTACATTCACAAAACTCTCCAAAACTTCAAAAGCTAGAGGGATTTGCAGGGCTGATGACCTCTCAACTCAACGAGGTGGCCCAAAGGTTTACAATAATCGCTACATTGAAAGGCAAAGACAATGTCTGTACCCATCTGGTGACTTATTTGTTGTAGGCCCATTTCTCCTAGAATTAGGGCTGTAGAACTCAAGACAGCAGTCCCTAATGTGAGGAAAAATGGGCTTACAACAAATAAGTCATCGGACAGATGCAACATTAAATACCGTGAGTTCTCCCTCCAATATGTCCATGTCCAGAAGGCGTCTCTGGCAGAAGTCCCCCCCCCCAAACCTGCAAGGCTTAGGCTTAGTTTGAAATCTCTAGGAAGGACTTAGTTCGAAACTAGGTTTGTGGCTTCTATGAAAACAAACCAGGAGTTATCAAAGAGACTTTACCAAATATCATTGAAAATTTAGGTAAGTGACAAGTCAAATAATTTCTGGTACCCTAAAATGTTTGAAACCCATGGCTCATAACCTTTTTCCACTGCCCTTACTGGCCCCCTATTTCTTGTTATAGGACTTCTGAAGCTAAACAAAAGCAGAAATACAAATTACTCCTTCCACACCACTGGGCAACAACTGGAAGCCTCAGGAGATACCGAGGAGCGATCTCACTAGTTCCCAGTCTGGATCCGCATGCGCGCCCGCGCGCACGCATGCGCAGACACCACTGCACCGCACCGCCCGCCTCAGGTTTAACAGAGCAATCCGCCAGCGTCCGCTCAGCTCAGGGGACGCGTAAGCCGCTGCTTTCCGAGAGTCTCTGGTCCTTCAGACCAAGCCGGCTACTTCTCCCTTCCCTTCACTCCCTTCCACCCTTTGACTCTACTAAGACGGCCATCCCTCTGCTGCGTCAGGAAGGGACTCAGCTTTCCACACGCTGAACCCGACGCCGGGCCTCTGGGCACAGCGCAGCTCCGGTCCCTGCGTGGCCCCCCGCCCCGGGGGC